CCATTTTTGTATTAGGAGGAATTTCATTGTCGAGCTCTCAATCTACAAAGATTTATATGGATGACAATATTGTTGAAATAGCTGACTTCAAAGGAAGCATTAAGGGATGATGTGATTTTAAAATTTAAAAATTATTTAAGATATTGATATATATAATTTTTTTTTATGTTTTTTTGTAGAGAAGCAGGGTTAGTTCCTAATGTACAACTAATCATAACACGGAACAATAACAGTGATATAAAAAATGTCACACATAATATCACAATACATGATATGCTGGATAGTGTTAGAATGACACTTGAAAAGGTTTTTTCTATTATATGTATTTTTAAAATTCCTTTGATTGGTAATTATTTTTATTTTCTTAATAATTATTTATTATTTTAGGAGAAAATTTTTTTGGTAAATGCTAAAATTAGCCAAATTCGCACAAGAAATGAATGGTGGTATGCATCATGTGGTCCAAATTGCAAGAAAAAGGTCTCTCCTAGAGAAGCATACATGTGGTGTACTAAATGTGCAAAGAAAGTTGAATATCCAGTACCCAGGTAAATTAATGATAATAAAAATAATATTATACTTCAAAATAGTTTATGTTATTTTTTAATAAATTAATGAATTAATTTTTCTCTTTACTTGAAACTTAAGGTATCGTTTGGAATTGGTGGTTGGTGATAACACTGGGGAGACAATCTTTGTTCTTTTTGATGATGTTGCTTTTGGACTAATACAACTTAGTGCTACAGAAATAATTGATAAACACATTGTTGTAAGTATATTATTAATTAATAAAGTATATAATTATATTAAATTTGATGAATAATGCATGCAATTAATTTTTTTGATATATGTAGAATGATGATGAAGAATATCAACTCCCTCCAGCATTGTTGAATTTGATAGATACTACTCATGTATTTCAATTGAAGGTAAGCAGTTTCAGTAAAGCTGGTGGAGTTGAGTCTTTTATGGTTAACAAGATGGTTACTGATTCCAAGGTAAAATATATTTTTTTAAATAGTAATATATGGTTTATGTTTTTTATTAACTAAGACTTAATGTTTTTTTATTTATTTATTGTAGAAACATGAAAATACCTCTTCAAATGATAATGCTACAATTGATTTGGGAAAATCAAATGCAATTGGTCAATCATCAGATTCATCAAGTAAAAATCTAACAAATGTGCATGAGGAAGGCAAGTCCGAAAAGAGCTTGATAAAGAGAAGAAGACTTTTGTATGATTTTTATTTGATTTTTTTTTACATTACTTAAAAAGATATTTTCTTAACTTCATCAAAAAAAAACTTTCAAAAGATAATAGAATATATTTTTGTTTTTAATGTAGGCTTTCAAAAGAAAGTGATGATGAGGAGATAAGAGAAGACCCAATACAATGGGATGACAAGGACACAAAATAAGATTTTGATAAATATATTGTATTAGTTCATTAAATTTCATAGACATCTATAGTAGTCAAATAAAATTTTGAAGCTTTTTTTTTTTGGATTATATATCTATATTTTATTTTTCATAGTGCATATTTTGAAATTGAAGTTGAAATGGCAATAATATGCATGTTTATCTAATTATTTAATGTTTCTTAAATCTATATATATATATGTATATTCATTATTATTATTTTATATTAAATCAAAATTAGACCGACCCTAATTATTATTATGAAAATACAATAAAGTATGAAAACAAAAATATATAAAATATTTAG